TGTTATCCCAGCACTTAATATAGACATTTTTTTAGTATAAAAAAACATTAAATCCATACAAGCTTTGTTGAAACTTTGCAAATGCATTATTTATAATGAAAATCAAATTAATGTCTTAAAAAAAAAAATTGTTCGTATTTTTCTATTATTTTGTGTATAATATTAATTCAAAATTTCTTTTTTAGTTTCTTGGATGAATGAAGTTTTCTTTTAGGTCATTATTGGTTTTTCCAGTGTCCGTTGGACCTAAACGAATATTTCTTATGATGTCCGCTCGTCACTCTTAGTCCAGTTCTATTGCCACGAGTACATTGATCTTCACTATCATTGTTCACATACTTTAATTTAATTGTATTTAGATTAGTTTAAAAAAATATGTGATAAAAAAGATCTTGGAATAAATCAATGTGAGTATATGTCAGAAATAAATTGTTTAAATACTATTAAATTAAAGTATGTGAACAACGAGTGTGGCAATATAACTTGTCTAAGAGAGACGCGCGGACATTTTAAGGCATATTCGTTTAGGTCCAACGGACACGGGGATATCTATAATGAAATAAAAGAAAACGTTATTCATCCAAGAAACAAAAAAAGAAATTTTTGAATTACTATTGTATGCAAAACAATAGAAAAATACAAACAATTTTTTTTTTAAGACATTAATTTGATTTTCATTATAAATAATAAATTTGAAAAGTTTCAACAAAGATTGTATGATTTAACGTTTTTTTTTTATACTAAACAAAAGACTATATTGAATGTTTGGGTAATAATACCCTAGCACTCCGTGGAAAAATTAATTTTTTAGCAAGAAAAATTTAAGTACAAATTCTGAACTCGGGGGGTACAACTTGGTACGAATTATAGTACAATTAACAGCACAAAGAAAAATGGAAAATTTAGATATTGGGGTGCCGGGGTAACCCACCCGAAAACTTGTTAACAAATAAGCACACAGTACACATTATAGTAAAACCAATACGTTTGTCTCAATACGCTTACAATGCTAATAGTCGATATTGAAATTTTGTTTTAGATTATAGAGCGACATTGCAAATGTCAATTTTCTCTTAGTTCCCAAATCTACGATACAGTGTAACGAGGCGTGCGGACATATGAATTCCAGTTGCATTCTTATATCGATATTAATAGAGTTTAATGAAATAATTTTCATTTAGGTTTTATTTTCGTTATTTTTTATTTCCGATTAAATTATTTTCGAGCGGAAAATCGCCTTGTAAATAAACACTAGCGTGTAATTTAAAGCTACACGCCTAGGCGTACTGTATAAATTGAATGATCTTTTTTCGCGGTTGAGAAATACGTTTCCGGAACGATTTATGTTTACATAATTCTCGGGTAGAATTTAAAAAAAAAAAAAAAAAATCTCCAAGTAGTCGAAATCTTGAAATCTTGTTTTATACCCGCGAGCCTTCTCGTTATGATTTGTTATCACAGATAAACTATAGAATTCTTTGAGGAGGGCGGGAGGTTTCCACTCGCCGCCACCGTCACGCCGACACCTTTACATTTTTATGTCAAATGTTTCCCATTCATTCTCGCCGGATTTCTCGTTCTCCGTACGAATATTTTATCTGTCACGCACCCGAGACTTATTTACTGAACGCGCGCGTATTTTTTCTATTTACTCAACACGTATATATGTTCTTTTTCTCGTATTTCGAAGACATATTTTACCATATGAAATTATGTTACATAAAATAAAAAAATAAAAATATGCTCCAAATAGTTTTGATTTAAAACAATAAATTGGACGTTCGGAATCCCGGTACCTCTCCACTCTCCGGGAACGTTTTATTTAGCCACTCGGCGTTTAAACGATTTCTCTCTCGCCGTAATATTCACATACGCTAATGATTTCCAATCAAAAAATAATACCAAACAAAACATTATTGAATAGGTTCGCAAACATTTTTCGTTAGGTAACAAAAAAGTAGTTGGTGGACATTCCTTAAAAAAATAAAAAAGTGGCCTGTTTTAAACGCCTACTAGATTTTAAAATTCGTTAAAAAGTTTTCTCGTTGAACTCGTATCAACTGATGAAGAAAAAGAGGAAAAACTGCACGCCATATTAAAATTAGTCCATTCGACGGTATCAAATTAAAAAATCAAACGAATAGATTAAAATCATATATTTATATTTACAATTTGAACGTAGGTATATGCGTGAATCATTTGAGAACATTGCCATTGCTTTCAGCTGTCCCAATAATATTAATAATAATGGTTTTTTTTTAAATTTTTTATTGACATTGTTCTTATCATTTTCGTTATCACGTTAACATTATTATGTTATTTTTTTTTTTTGCTTGTGTTACTTTCAAGGTTACGGAGTGTTTCGAACCATAAGTTTAAAACGTTCAGAAATCAAAGCGAAACGAGAAGATATTCATACAGTTCGTAATAATTCTGAAAATATAAACGAAAATAGATAGTTTCTATTGCTTTTGAACAGAAACAGTATCGTTTTGTTCAACTGATATTTTGCTCTTAAATAATCACGATAAAAAAACATTATATTTGTGATTAATTATTGGTTGCCACGATTAGACCACGTTTATCAAGCGGTTTACTACTGCATTATCGTCAGTTCTTAGTGTTGTAGTATATTCAGGCTACCAAATAATAATAATAATAATACAATATTTTTTAAAAAGGTATGTTTTATCAGAACAAATTATGTTATGTGATTTTTTAATATTTTATTATACGTACATTTATTCAGGCTCTTACTCGGTCGCCGGCCGTAACAGAGACATTGCCATAGGCGTAACGTGATGGTTTTCTGTGGGAGGCTATAACCCTAACAACGTTTTTGACATGGGCGCATACATTAAATATGAGGGGGAAATAGTTAAATTTAATTGACTGATAAGAAAAAAGACAAACAAATTTCGCACGACGGAGCTCGGTTAATAGTATTTCTTAGGGGCGTCTTCGGGTCAATTCCATAGGGAGGAGAGCGAACAATTTTTACTCTTGAATACCATCGCTTTGGTCAACAAAAGCTTAAAACCTATATGTCTAATGCCATTTCAACTTATATTAGCTTAAAAGACAACAGATGTATCGCGCAAATGCAGTAAAACAGTACAGTTTAAAAGTTAAATTTATGTTTTTCACGTTAAATAAATAATAACCAATAATATTTTCTGTATTAACGTTTTCACTTCGATGAACACTTAAAAGCGATAAGCCAGTTAGCCGCCGCTCAAATTTTTTCTTTTTTTATTTTCTGGTAGACTTTTTTTCACGGTAAATAAAAAATTAACATCATTGTAAATAGGTGTGTACACTACACTCAGGATCTAAAATTTAAATTGGATTATTTATTTCCAATTTCGATTCTAAAAATATATTACTTTATTATAATTTTGCTAGTTGATTGTTCCCACTTAGTTTCCCGAAATTCTACCTTACCATTGAGAGAATATTTATTGAAATTTTTAAATGAGGAATGTTTCATTCTTGTTTCAATCGAAGTATTTCCAAGATCCGTATCATCTTTATTGTATTTGGAACCAGTTGCATTTGTACTTATTTACACCTAAAAACTATAGATATTTCGTTTAATAAAAAAGAAAATCGCATGGTTTATGGAGGAGTGCGATCGCCACCCTCGCACCACCACCCAGGGACTCGCCTATAAAATACTTACCTTCTCGTGCGTTGCCACTCTCTTAAAAACGTATGGGTTTTTTTCAGAAAGTCCTTCGGCGGACGATGATAACATTATAGACTATGGATCGATTATATATTACCATATACCTTTATGTTTATAACCATATTGAAAATACTATTATTGTTATTGATATCAATATGATATAATATAATAATAATGTACAGTATACTCAAATAATTTAAAATTTGAATTATTAAATAAAATATTCTATGGATATTTTACCTATTATTTTTAATTTTATTGAAAAATAAATAATAGAACAGTTTTGCAGTTCTTATGCATGGATGGATAAAATAGTACAATTTCACTCAAAGGAGCTAAACGAAATTGCGGGAGGCTAAAGCCCCCTTAGCCTCCAGTATTCTACGCTTATGAAAATCGCACTACTGTCGCGGGCTAATGCGATTGTTTTATAAAAAAGATTGGAAAGAGATTATTAAAATATATTTGTGAAAATCCCCGGCCGGGCTTCGGAATGCCTGGAGAGCGAGACCATTCATTGTTCAAATTAAGCATTGTGTTTTATTTTGAAAAACAATCATTTGCCTTTAATTATTATTTTTACCTTTTTTTAAGTAAAAAACACTTTTCGCGAGGTTACCTTGCGTTTTGTAGTACTTACTCGTCGGTTTACGCGTCCACATATTATTACATACCTACTCACTTACGTTCTTGCTTGATGCAGTACTCGTTTTCGTTTTATTTTAGTGTCAACGCGTAGTGAACTGCCCGTCTTAACTGAACCGTGTCGGAAAGTGCCGCGATCGGCTAAGGCGTCGGATACACAATGTAGCATTCCCTCAGCCGTCCGGTTAATGAAACCTATTACCTACCAAAGGTTTCGGGGCGCGTTTCGCGGTTTGCTGCCGCGCGCGTCCGAAAAAGAACCTCGGGTAGCTGGGTATGTACAACTAGGGTGTAGAGCATAGGCGCAACGAGGGGGGGAGAGGGGGTGGCTAGACGGTCTTTACCACCCTCAAATTTAAAATAAGCGCCGTCAGAAATGCGCAATAATTTCTTTTACGACGTAGACGAAATATTTTTTCCGCGTATTTCCTAATCAATAACCAGAACGAAATACGGATTTCATACACAGACAATAAAGACACAGAGTTTTTATAAAAAAATGTGTATATAAAATGTATGGTTGCTTAGAGACGAGTATCGTGTGAAATGGATTTCGGGGGGTATTTTAGCACTCCCAAGATCGGTGGCCTAGTTGCGCCCGCAGCGTACGGGCGGTTGGTGACAGCGAAATAAATAAAACGCACATCGTAGTCAAAGGTTTTTTTTTTTTTTATGTATATATATATATTAGCAATAAAAATTACAACAACACAAGTATTATATTGTAGGAACCTCGACAAACTACAGACGTCTACTACATATATATATAATTATAATATCGTTATAATACGAATTGCAATAATATTTAGCCGACTATATTTAATAAATAATAATAATAAATTTAATGATACGTTCGATTAGCGAATTTCAGTCGAAATTATTATACGGTAAAACTTCTACATAACGGCGACCCGAGGGACCGGAAATAATGACCGCTATTTAGAGGTGACGACCATTGTTTACAGGTGTCTTACAGAGTCCGTAACACTTGACAGGACCGAAAAAATGACGGTTACACAGGGGCGAACGTCAGCGGAAGTTTTACCGTACTATACGAGTGCTCTGAACTGTTTTACGCGCGGATACGATTGTGTCGTTACTATACGATCGTCATAGTTATAATATGCAATGCAAATATTCCGACGTTCGCTCATTTATTATATGTTATAAAACGCTTTCCGACTCGGCGAAAAATCAGCGCCACGCCACGGAACACCGGCACGACACATTGGAAAATATAGAAACGACAATAGCATGATATGTGTTTACGCGGCGAGTTGCTCTCGCGACAGTGACGATACGCGTGGCACGGCATGCCAGTTGCTTTCACGATAGCCGCCGTCGCGACCGCAGTGCGCGATAGTGACCGATAGCGTTTTCCGTCTGATCGCACTCAGTCAGTGGACGCCGCCGCATTCCTCACTGGTGTTTTCGCACGCGTTTAGACGGGATTAATACTTCGCCGCCATGATATGATGGAATTGACGTTATCAATAGTATAACACTGCGCCGGCTGACGACGACAGGCGACATAATATAGTAGGCGAAAATCGTACGCCAGTGTACATAGGACACGGATGCGGTCGGACGGAAAACGCGCGGTCGGGAATTTCGCGATTTTCACGATAGAATCTACGCAACGTTATCGTATAATGGTGTCCAACTCTGTCATCCGGTTCGTGGACCGGGCTTGGCGAGCGGTGAAATCACATTCGGATCGGAATTCGTACCGTGAAAATCGTGAGAAAAAGAATAATCGACTAAATACACGATATTTCAATAAAATTATGCGAATCGTTAGTAATTATTGATTATAGCTTATTATTATGTACATACGATTATAATCGGTTTTCGTGCGATACACAACACGCGTGGCATATATGGGAGGAGCGAAAGGCTAAAGGCCTCTAGTATATCGTTTTTCAAACGTGTTTTTGATTATGTTGAATGCAATTTTCGGGACCGTTTATAAGTGCACACGCGTTGGTACGCCGACAAAAGCATTACGAAGCGATAAATAGGATAACGCGATATTATGGTTACGTGATCATATGATTATACAATACGAGTAAATAATATAAATGTTTTAAAAGTACTTATCGAGTAATCGAGCATTTCGAAATTTGAAATTTCACCGAGTTCAACTAAGTTGATCTTAAACGAGTGATCGGAGAGAAACTGACTGCGCGTAGTTAAATAAAACGATTACGTATTTTAGCCCCCCCCCCCGAAGAATATTTACTCTGGAGTTGGCCCAAACGCGGCATAAGCGCCGTGACGCGTGAACGCGAAACGAGGCCGTACCCTATAATATTGTTATAGTATTTCGATTAATAATATTTATTGAAACAATAAAGTCAAAAACAAAATCATTAAAATAATTTACGTAATTTTTAAACAATTTGTGGACTTTTTTGGTGACCGAGGCGTTTAAAGAAGGAATGTAAAATGTTTACTGCTGATAGACGGTGAAGTTATCGCATTGAAAAGTGCATTGCGCGTCGCATGATTGCGTCAAACTATGCGTAACACAAATTGCTCTTATCGTTTTGAAAATTGCGTATGTTAAAATGAAAAGCTATAATAACGAAAAAAAAACCTTACTAAATGGTTCGGTTACCGGCTTTTCGACTTCGACGGACGTTTCCTATAATTTTTTTATCTATATTTATAAGTTTAAAAAAAAAAAACAAAAACAAAAAAACATTTTAATTGTAAAAAAAAAAAACAAAAACGGAATCGCTGGAACTGTATTTTTATCACAAAAATAGTGTACCTTTTTCAATAATATTTTTCGCAGTTTCAAAGAATTTTCAAATTTACTTTATATAACAAAATACTTATCTAAAAAAAAAAAAAAAAGAAGGTATAAATGCGATAACTTCCGCGCCGTAATAATTTAAGTAATATTTTGTTTATTTGTTTATTAAAGTAAATTAGCGAGTTGATGAGCTATAAAAAACTAACGCATATTATTTGACGAGAAAAAAAAAACTGAAAAATTATTAATATAATACGCGGACAGACGGTAAAAAACGAAAGGTACGGGGAATTACACCCGAGCTTTCATCGCGTCTGCCGAAACCGGTCAGTTCAGAGTCCTCGGTGAGGGTAAGGTGTGAGGGAAGTAGTGCATTATTTTTTGAGAATATTTTTTTTTTTTTTCTAATAATATTATTTTACGTAGAAACATCGGAAAAGCCATATTTCGATTGAAATTTTCTTCTCGCGTAATATTATGATACATAAAATATTATACTTATGTTTTTTTTTTTTTTTTTTTTTAAATTTTTTAATATTTTTACACTTATTATATATATATATATTTTTTTTTTTTAAAGATGTCGTTTTTCCGATTTCCGGTGACGACGGATTTTCCAGTTGCGTTATGTTATGTTTTTCGGCTCGAGTACAGTGTGCGTGTGTGTGTAACATGTAGTGTATCGTATATAGGGATAGTACCCATACACATTAGTGCGGTTTCCACTCGTTGGCTGAAACACATAACAAAACGCGTATTATTATAATATTCTGTGTAGGTAAGTGTACGTAACGCAAAGGCGGTACGGGTCTGCGTTCGCACAAAATTCGCTGTGGCGAACCGGAGAAATGACGGTATAAATTATGCACGCGACCCGATATTATCCGCTATAGGTATACGCCGAGGTTGTAATATAACCGCGGTATACAACTGTGTTGTGTATGTACCGGGTGGTCGGAAGTGTGGGCGGCGGCGTTTCGGTGGGAGAAGCGGCGAGGAATACTATATTATAATAAAGGTAGGTATAAATAGGGGTGTATATGGGGGCATAGATAAAAAAAAAGAACTCTGCTCGTGTAAATTTGTTCGCCGACACGCGGCCGGCTATTAAATGAATAAATAAATCGTGACAAACGTATAACCGGCAATTAACTTACCCTTGTAGTATACTTCTTTGTGCATGCTCGGGCAGTATTTTTCATCGTCCTGCGAATGAAAAAAAAAAATTAATAAAAACAAATACGAAAAAATAAAAGCGTCCGTTGTTCCGGCAGTTTTTAAACTCGACAAACTAACGACGACGACGGGTTTTTTATTTATTTATTATTATTATTATACTATTTTTTTTTTTTTTTTATCGTTAGACTCGTATAGTTTCAATCAATTTACAGGTATACAAGTCGACGTTTATACAATATATATATGTAGACACGTATTTTTTGTTTTTTTAAACCGACAAACAAAATTAATAATATAATGTATAGGTTACGCCACGTCGAAACCATTATTCCGCACGACGATTATTTTCCCTCGTAAAAAAAAAAAAAGAAAAAACCCAAAACAAAACACAAAAAATGGCCTATACCGCTGACGGGTGTGCCGCCGTTACAGGAATGAAAACAACCGGAAGGATATTATAATTTATGTATCCGTATATCTGTACGCAACGATAGACCGTTGGTAACGGAAAACTATTCTGAGGCGGGTATTATTAGCCGCATTTTTTCAATCGTTACTGAGACAATCCGACAAAACTTATACCTACCGAAGGTTGACAGAAAATCGCTAAGAAAATCAAATGATATCACTTCCTCACCAATGCGCCAACTAAACGTCTAGTATAAAAGAAAAACGAAACAACTTTTAGTGTGGACGATTTTAACAGAATTATTGAAAATTTGAATCAATTTTCGCTTCGAAAACATTAAAATCGACATTCGTATAAATTTTAAAATGGTCCCGGAATAACCGCGAAAACTGGCACCGTGATATTCGATCGGGTGTAAATATTCACTGTTCACTAGTGAAATTTAACCAGGTCCGGGAGTAAAGTTTAAACAGTGATTTTTAACTCCTCCTAATGTATCGCGGAGGGGTTAATTTTGAAATGGGTTTTAATCGCGTGTGTTTTCTATTGTGTAATCGTGAAATCCGTTCAAAAACACGGTCCCGTGGTAATAAACAACAACAATTGTACTCTTCAATGAGATTCTAGAATTTGTACTCTGTATGTAAATATAACGAAAACAACGTTATCTGGGGTACGACGTCAAATCGATTTTCTATTTAATTCGAACAAGACGGTAGATTGAAAAGTGGCCTTTTTCACAATAATTACAAAAAGAAATACGTAACTTTTTTTTGAAAGCGATAATAAACTTAATGGTCACCGTGTCGTTTTATAATTAAAATCGTGTTATGCTATTTTCATTATAGGTTGTTTTTTACGATTGTTCTTATTCATTTCGAGACAAAATGTTTTTTGACCCAATGCTTTCACAGATCAAAAAATGCTCGCCCAGTCGTCCTCTTGACCGTTGTTCGCTAGGATTTTTCTTTTTACACCGGTTGGTATAAAAAATTAATATGAAAAACAAAAATCCATTTAGATAATATCATTCTTCTAGTTCAAAAACTCGATAATATTGGTTTATACTAATGTATTTGAATAGTATGTTTACTATTATAATTATTATTTCTTTTTTAACGTATGTAAACATCTTTTCGATTAGTAAAAAACCTCCAATTGTTTTACACCGCGTATAAGTTATAGGACATGCCATGGATTTTAGAAAGTTTTCTTATTATTTTCCAACGTCCTACTATGCGTTGTATGTTTCCATTTTTCTTACAAACGCGCAACAAGAGAAGAACATTATGATAAGCACATAACGTCGACGCTATTTTTTTCGCTATTTCAGATTCTAGGTGGATTGAAGAAGATTATGGTTTTACAAAAATGTTTTTTTTTTTTTTTTTTTATCTGTGGGCAACTTATCTACCAAATATCTTGCTTCGATTTTCAATAGCACGTTTTTTGAAAGAAAATCAGCGTGGGGAGGTACTGTAAGGAGGCCATTTTTCGATTTTCCCAGGAGTTTACTTAAAAATTATGAAAAACCGGGAAAAAACACGGGAGACCGAGAGAAACTTAGAAAAACGGTGAAATCGGTACAGCGTTGAACAAATATTATCAAAGAAAATGTATAATGCATATTTGATTATTTTACCATAATGCGTAACATGTATATTGTTGACAAAGAATCACTATCGACTGAAATCCGTTTTCATTTCGTTAGCGATGGTTTATCGTTGCTTACAGATGTACATTAAATTACGTATAATAGTGGCTGCACTCGTTCCCATTATGCTTGGGTATCTTTTGTGTTAATCAGAGAGACGTGGTTACGTGAAATATCGCCGTTTAATAATTCTTGTGTCTCCTACGGATAGGGTTGAAATATATCGAAACGATACATGCATATAGGTTATTTACACAATTATTATATTGTTTCAAAGGTTTTTGACGAGGTTTTTGTCGACACTACAACATAAAACGCCGGCGTTCGAGTATGCAGTCAAAAACCGCGCACAACCGCATACCGTTATTCGCTATGCGTTGGATAATACCGCGTTCGACAGCCGCAGCATTATCGCTGTTAAAACGGAATCGTAATTTTAATTTAACTTTTTGCATTATGAAACAATAGTTACTATGAACTTGTTTTCAAATGATTACAAAGCGATACCGATAGCGACAATATAATATAATATTAATAATCCCATAAAGTGTCAATTTCTCTGATCGGGGTAAAATTCATCACAGTATAAAAGGCTCGTGAATAAAAGAAACCCAATTAAAATGTTGGGTACAATATTCCCCTTACGTATGGTTGACGTTTTTCAGAGTTAACGATCGAACGTCCGTACAAAATAATATTTTAATATTGTAGGTGTATTGTATGTAAAAAAAAAAAAAAAAAAAAGACTGACATACTTCACGCAATGAATGGGCCGCTGTTGTAGGTGAGAAGTTGGGACATTAGGATCCAGATGGGAATTTAATTTATATCTGTACGCAACAATTCTAAATGATGTTCGGTTAAACATGTTTTAAAAAGAAGTAATATTCAAATTTGATATAAAAATTCTTATTAATAAAATTTTTTATTTCAATCGATTTTTTTTTTTTTTTTTGACCGCAAAGTACGAATTATAATGAACTTTATGTCAAATTTTCAAACATTTCTGTCTGGACTAGTAATTTTATCCATAAATTACCTACCGAATAAAAATTAAACTAATATAATTAAAATGTCTATAAAAGAGCACAGATATGGCTCAAATGTTTTTACAGTATTACCACGTTATCTATAAAAAAAAAAAAATATATAAATTTTTGTTTCAACGAATATTTTTAATTGAATCACAAAATTGAAAATAATACATTTCATAGATTTTCCTTTTTTCCTTGTATTTTTCCCATGAAAATCCTCTAGAATATTGAAAAATAACATGTTTAAAGTACCAATCAGATGCAATTTCTTTAAAAGGTACAAAATATTAGAGACCTATATTTTAGCCTATTGTTTCGAGTATTTTTCTTTGCACTACAATTATGTATAATTCCTCACAGCTTCTTCTAACCCAAACTATCTCAAACTCTGGAGTTACTTTATAGGCTAATTGGTGTAGATAAAAGTTGGATTACATTTTAATGTTTCAATTTATCTACATTGTTATTGGAGAATAGTGCATTTTTTTTTTTATCTTTGAACCCTACCAAAAAAAGCCCGGGGGATGAAATTTTGTATACACACGGTGCATCAAGAACGTATATTGATGATTTTCAACTTTCAACCGTGATGCTTTTACCGTGATTATCCTCAAATTATTAATATAATTAATATTTTTGAAAGTAGGTAATGTAGTGATATTATTTATTTTTTTACCAAAAAATATATTTATTATACATATGGCGGGAAGGGGGGGGGAAGGATTCAACTCTAGTGACCGTGCTCTGCTGTTTAAACACGTTCTTCCCTTGTGACCATAGTAATATTACAGCTATCTATTGAAATAAAACTGACGGTTGTCACTTTTTTCAAGTGTTTGGAATTCAGACAATTTGTCGAGATAAAGTTCCACCCGGTCGAAATATCCGCATTTTTTAATGTACGAAGCGTGACGGTGTAAATAATTTGAAGCAGATTATCACTTACCGAAAAAAGGTTTTTCGCGTAAAAAACGAGTAACGGCAAAAACCAATAACACATCTTCGCTATAAACCAGAAGCAATCTCAAAACCTTTTCTCTAACAATACTGTCAAAATGAAATCCGGTAAAACGATTATGGTTTATACCAACTTGACAATATTAACAAATTGACAAATTAATAACATCGAATCCATATTCGGAATACGCAATAGGTAAACGGATATACGTATACATAATATTATAATATAGGTACCTGGCACATATGAATGTATATATATTTATTTTTTTTTTTTTTTTTAAAATAATATTTACAGTAAATTACCTTTCTCAGGTTGAAATCGATATTGGTGCGCACCAGCCGATTGTGCAGCGGTTGAGGCGGTCGGAAATTGTTGCCCAGCGGCGCGGTCCCTTGGTTTTTCAAGTTGCTTTGCATCAGACTCCGCAGACTGTATAACTGTAACGTGCAATGCGCATTATGTATAAAATAAATTTCAATCGTTTTCACTTAGGTACCTACGCATATATATATACGTATGGAAAAAAGCTCGAGGCTCGCGATTGTTGCGCGTTTGTGTGTGTGCAAGTACATAATAATATATACACGATCATTGCTGCAGACAGTTTTTCCCACTACACCATCACCACCACCACCACCGCCACCGTTGGCGAAGGATTTAAATTGCGATTTTTTTATTTTTCCAATACATAAATACTTAAATCGTACATAATTTCTACGTACACGATTTGTGTTTTTTTTCCCCCGTCAGTATAGGAAAACGAGAGGGCAGAATATGACAGTGGCGTGGGAGAGGTTACGGGTTGTATCCCCCGCCCCGTTGCTTAAAATACAAAAAAAAATATGAGTAATTTAATGTAATAATCGTAATGCATATATTTTAGACAAATTACGAAGAAAAACTTAACATATTGATTAGAAATTGGCTTTTTTTAGGATATGGTTTTCAAATTACAAATTCCCACAGTGAATTTGGATATAGAAGATGAATTTATGGTTTATTCGTGATTTTTATTTGCTACATCCCGTCCCATTGATATTTCTTGGGCATACCACCGCAGTGAGTCCGTATTGTTTTTGCCGCATGTAGATCAGGTACAATACATTATTATACACGTCGGGTTATCACATACGGAGCGGAAACGTGGCTGTTCACAAAAAATTGACCAAAGAAAACCGATAGTCCAGTACAGAAGAAAGTTCCGAGAATGATTCGCGCGCCAATAAATGATTCCAATAGCAATACGAGTGAATAGTAAACTAGAACGAATTTTTCACGGGCCGAACATCTTGAAAACGATTAAATATAGCAGACTATATGTGAATTGGACGGTGGAAATGTTCGTCGTACAGTCGTGTACATGCGGAGTAATGGTCAATGGGCGTTTGACGTAACGCGCGTAATAATGGCCACGATCATTCGGAAAAGAAAACGGGTTTTCGTGCCACTCGCGGAACCCAAATACAAATTCTGAAGAAAACCGTTTTTCGACGACGGTGACGTTTCGATTACGTCTGAACACCGTTTTACTTTCCCTGTTTTCCGACACCTCGGAATCGGTCCCGAATATTCTACACTCCGCATTATCACTGCGCCATTATCGATCTTGTCGGCTGTATTCTATAACCGTTTACTCTCCACGGTCCCTCCATCTCGCACCATATTTCAATTATCAATCGACCGAGCGTACCGTCGTATTAGTGGCTGCTGGTATAGACGGCCGCGACGCCATTTCATCGATTCGCGGAAGCGACGCTCATAAACTGTATTGCGTTCGTGAAATATAAATACAAACCGATTTCCCTATACGGGTGTTTGCTTATAATAATCAACGGAAACGTTTCGGAAACAATTTCGCGATAATATATTGACCCGATGTCCGTGTAACATCTTGTATAAGATCAATGTTTGATTAGATACCTAAACCACAAACATACTTTACGTTTGTACCATTGGGAAATTTCGTACTTTCGTATTTTCCGGTCCAGAACTTAATTTATTATTATGCGTCGTTTATTGCATGGACGTATATTATGTTGTCTAAACGCTTTGCCCGTTAAACGATAATTCTGTTTCCGCAGGGGCAGTGTTTGCAAAAGATAACTAAATGTTTATTTAGATACAGACGAATGATAATTGGATAAAATTTATCATGATACAGATAAAAGACGGTCAAAATCCAAGTTATCTTTATAAAGACGAAATAGATACATCACTTCCTATCTGGATTAGATAAAAAAATAAACAATTTTTATTTTCGTATTGGTTACATTTTTTTTTTTATCGATATAAAATATTAATATAATAACGGCGCAGTCCCCCTCCCTACGGGCGCACGCCTGAAAAAAAATACTGGTTAAGACTGAGTAACATTTATATAAAACGTCGAATTACGATTATGGAACTCGTATCGAGCTATAAACAATTAGAAATCACGTGAATAAGCAACACGGTAAATTATTGTTACTTCATATTAGATTCCGAGTGGATACTTTTAATTATATTCTATTTAGATTTCCGAAAAAAATAATATTAAAAGTCTAGATAAGATAAAATGTTTTCAAAATTATTAATATTACGTTCTACTGTATTTCACAATATTTTCAATGTTCTACGCAGAAAATAATAATTTCCGGGCATTATTTTTGAAATGTACAGGCGACCGGCCATAAGGGGGGGAAAAACGATGGTCTCGTTGCTTAACCATATCGTTTATAAACACACATCAATTATCATTCAAATCCTCGTAGGGGTCGTGGCAAAAGTATCACACTGTATAGCACGCTATAGTGTATCAATTTTTTAACCGTAAAAACGTTCTGTTTTGTTAAATAAAATATTCCTGCGTGTGGACGAAATTCTATACTTGTGTATTTTTGATGGTATGTATATGTTGTGTAAAGTCGTGTTTTCTTTTGTAAAACGATTGTGGAAATTCTACGACCGAAAACCGTGTTGTTTAATACACACGTGTGATATGGAAATTGCACTCCCGGAATTACGTATTTATTTTCGACTAAAGGAAATCGCGGTAAACACACCGCTGTTGCACCGAATGAGAAAAATCGAAAAATCCGACGTTTTAAACGCGATTGTTTGCATAAAAAAATCATTTCACGGTGGCTGGAGGGTGGTGGTAAGGGGGTCGTGGTGCTGGTGGTTTCCGAATAATATACGTTTATAAAGTTTTAATATATACCTATATAAGAGGATAATAATAAATATCCTACTCGCGTGCTTCGCGATATCTGTCCACGCGTATCTCCCCACCACGCGTACCTCTGTACCGGGTATACGTTTTATGGTCAAAAAATATGGTTTAATGTGTTACGGAAGTCGGCGCCGAGTAGATATTAGGCGTATATACAGGGGCGGTAGAGTAAAATAATAACGTTTCGTCAAATACATGAAACGTTAATGCTTTGCGCTCTACGATTATAACATTATTGCAATATAGTATAATAGTTTATAAATTGAATAACGGGTACCCCGACTGCAAACGTCTGTTTGGTATTATAAAGTAGTATAAAGTTGGGCAGTTTTTTTCTTTTCTTTTTTTTTTTTTTTTTTTTGAAAGCTAGTCAACTTTAAAATTTTCGAAAACGTTAGTGTATTTGATATTGAACGAGCACCTAGTCGAATAATACAGTTACAATAGTTGGGCGTAATCGATTAATTTACGATTAAATTACATTATTTATTAATAGTTTAATCATTTTACAAAGTCATCAGTAATTATGATTACATATTTGCAATCGTTAATTATTACCGCCAAATTGTACGCACAACTACAACTATACACAAACAGTACTGTCAGTGCCGTAGCCAAGGGGGGGGGAAGCCTTTCGGGCTCAAGCCCCTTCCCCCCTCACGAAATATCAGACGACAATAATTGTATTAATTAAATTGAAAATACATTTGTACATGCGTGATGTTGTGATAACTCGCTGCCCAGAATACGGAAAATAGCTATAAAAAAAAAACAAAAATCATTAACCATATGTGGTGATAAAACATGCTATTGTAAGTGCATTAGAAGAACTTAAGGATATAAAGGACAAAGTTGCTCATTTTTCTTAAATAAAAAGAAGTTTTTCTTTTATAATAACTGTATGTATATTTGATAAATTTCTTGGAATAACACTCTATCTTCAGATTTCTTAAAACGAAAAATTGATTTTTAATAACAGCTATGGAATCAGTAAAATTAACTATGCAAAAAACTACAAAACATAAGAAATAAAGAAATATTCTCTGAGATTTTCCATCGAGCTAGTAAAATTGGAAAAAAAAAGTAGGCGTATTTCCGACTACACCAAACCGTCCAAACTATGAAATACACAATAATGACTGAATTTCTTATTTTAGGCAATCAATTTTTGTCTCATATTTAGATGATACGCTGGCATTATTTCACGAAAGATTTAAAGTTAACTGAAATATTATCTTGTGTATTGCCAAATAATATAGATAATTCTTCATTTAATGATTTAAAGCCTGCAATTGATTTGTACAAAGAAGATTTGGAAACTCATAACACTAATGTTGATTTCTATATGGTGTTACTGGAAAATTAATTTGAATTGTGGCAACGAAAATAGTCCGATGTGAAACCGAAAAATGGTTTCAATATGCCCTTTAGACGTTCTATCAAAATGTCCTGAACAGTTATTTCCAAATAGTCATATTTTGCTGAAAATACTAGCCATTTTACCAGTATCAACAGCATCAGTCGAAAGCTAAATGGTCTAGCACTTATGAATAATCACCGGGAAATATTTATTGACCCTGAAAAAATAATTAATATGTTCTCCTCAAAAAAAGGAAGACGTTTGGACCTAATGTAGTAATAATGTTATCTATTTTTTTTTTTATTTTGTATTAATTATATGATCTTGATTTGATAATATGCATAATCATATGAACTATATTGTCAGCAATACAGCGCAAACTAAACTAACTTTGCTGCCATTATTGGCCAAAAAAAAATTAAGCGCCTCCTAAAAATAAATCCATGCTACGGCACTGAGTACCGTTAATAATACTGTCATTGACGCTCTAAGCCCAATCAGGATGTGTTTAGTTGTTTAAACTTTGATACCAATCTAAAATTTGGTGCTCCATACATTTGTGACGCCCCCGGCGTCTTAAGACAGTTTCCTCTTTTAGCCCCTCACAGCCCTCTTAGCACGGTAATAAATATATATATATATAAATAAATTATACTTGTAAATAACTATAGTCAATAAAATGTATAGGTGTAGACGAATGAGTATAACTGTACGAACGTAAGTATAAAAGTATAACTGTATGACGGAATAAAATATCTATAGTTATAACAATGAATTCTCCTATAACGATTATAACGGAAACCGCCCGATAGCGGATGTTTTTTTTTTGGGGGGGGAACGGGAACATTTTCAATACTTTTCTGTCGGAAAACTTTCGAATGACCGACTCTAATAGTCAAATAATTTTTATCTTGAAATATAACTGTTATTCATTGATATGATTAATCATGATCATTGTAATCGTAATCAATATTCAATATTATTACTTTATTAATTTAAGAGACGCTATACCCGCATCTACTGTCTCAGTCCAACTACCGGATGACATACAAAAACAATGCTTACGCAGAATAAATAAAACTAGATTAATTTTGATTTTAGAGTAAAAGTACCTATTATAAAATGTATACAATATTTTGGAAGGAATGCCATAGGGTTTTTATATTATTCAAAATATACAGCTCGATATAAAAGATACAAAAACCTTTATTTTTTCTTTTTTAAATTGTTTTAACTTTTTGAATAGTTCATAATTCAAAAAACATCCACGACGTTCCCTCCGAAATATCGTTCTATATAAATCTCATAAGAGGTACTTTTGCTCTAAAATCAAAATTTAGCTAGTTTTACTTATTCCGCGTAAGCATTGTGTTTATATGTTATCCGGTAGTTGGACCGAGACAGTAGATGCGAGTACATCTACAAATTTTAATCGTAATGCGATTTTCCCAAAACTGATGCACGTAGCGACACATGGACAGTGAATATTATTGCAAGTAGGTGATTGTCACCAATCGATAATGCGGAACGGAAAATCGATAAAAATAAAATATGTCGTTATCATAACACTGAAAACAAAACGATAAAAATATATTTATATAAATTCAAACCCTCGACGTGGTACTCGAGGTCGAGCACTCGTGTAAAATGTATCTAGTGCATACAATACAAGAATATACAAGATGTTCTGTAGTGTTATTCATATGCTATAATAAAATTTCTCTGTCAATATTCTTTTTTTCTTTCAATTTTTTTTACGTTCGGATTTTATGTCAGAAGATTACATATACGGAAGAAAAGTTATATTTGTATTTCCATCACTTTATCGCCGAAAAAAAAAAATAAACATTTTTTTAAACTTTTTAAAATTTTCAAAATAGCTTATTAGTCGAATATATTCTTCTAGACATTTTAATGTATCATACTTTCGTATTCGATCAATAGTTTCTTAGTAACAGTCGTTTTAATCATATCTAGAAGAAGGTGTGAAAAACGAGACTTCCACGTTACGCGATAGCAAATCATAATCGTAATACATAATCATGATAAGAAATGTTAAAATATTGAAACTAAAATGGCTA